GAATAATGATCCGCATTAGAATAAAAATCTACGTATGAATCGATATTGATGTTACTTATTCCATTGAGAGCTTTATATAAAAAAGTAACATCAGCTAGAAATCTCCTATTTTCTAGTGACATCAAATTTAGCTTCTTTAAACGAGTCTCATAATTGTCCTCAGTCTTTAAAATGAACTTGGTTGCTCTTCTTTGTACTTTTTCAACTTTTTCTATGTTCCTTTTGGTGTAGGGTGACCATACAGCAGAGCAGTATTCAACATTCGATCGAACTAACGCGCAGTAAAGAGTTCTCAGAGTCGTAGTATCATCCAGACCTCTACAAGTCCTTTTAATTAGCCCTAACATTTTGTTTGCTTTCGACACAATAATATCAATGTGCGAGTTCCAGATAAAATTGTCAGTAGTTGTAACTCCCAAGTCTTTGAATTAGGAAAATAAACTTTTTTTGCAATATGTTTTCCTTTTTTTCTCTTGAATGTCTCACCACTTTCAAACGTCCTTTATTTCTATACCCACTCCTTCCTTGGTTTCCGTCTCCACAGAAGGGCTGCGCCCATCGAGGGGTGTTGCTTTCATTCAGATCCGCCGGAAGATTTAAGAAAATTGCGGAGTTCCCAATTAAAGTACAGAACATAGCTCGCATGCTCCATGAAATTTCAGTAAATTAACCTTTGACTGAGGTAAAAGCGTCTTATTATGATTGTGTAAATGGTCTTATTTTCAGTAGCAGGTTCGACTAAGTACCTCGTGGTGCCCCTTCCGGTGGCTCCACCCACGACTAGCTGTATGAGCCCGCACATTCTTTTACCTCCGGTTCTCCATATGCTAATGTGCCATCGCATCCTGACATGTAGTATGTTCGAGTAAGAACAAACTAGTCTGACTTCAATTCTAGATCTGTAGATTATAGGCGTTTCTTGAAGTCGTTGTTGTGATTGTTAAAATGACCTGGGGTTTTGAGCTTTGGGTAAGTGATCAAGAGCTTGACTGTTCGCTTGTCTTTTCTCAGCTTGTGTTCTGGTATTATGAAACATCAGTGATTCGCGATATTCACCATTTTTCTGCGATGACACTAATTCTTTCACGTTTTCTATTTGGCTTCTAGGATCAGTTTGATCTCATTGCGAATCATACATCTTCTGGAATCGAATATGTGGAAAAAGTAGCGAAGTTCGTAAAGGAAAGGTGTGAAATCGAATCGCGATATGCGAGGGACTTACGGTAAGAGAGTAAAGAACTTCATTTTACGAAATCGAAATTCTTTATATGTCGTAACAGAACGGTTGGTATATTGTCCTAGTGCTTTCAAATTCATACTTCACTCTATTGTCGCGTAAGTGTAAAAAATGTCTCAACAATTTGGCATTTTTTTTTTTTAAGTCTCGTATGGATCTTTCCTAAACATCAGCTATTATTGTATGCTGCTTTATGAGCATGTTTCTAACAGACAGCTGATTGGTGTTATTCCTTTAATCATAGAAGCTTAATATTCCTTATCCGCGCTTGCATGACAGTCGTTGCTGTGCGTAGCTGCCTTTTAGAAATACTATCCATGTTTTTACTTTCGCTGAGTAGAAGTTGCTATTAATTCAGGATTAAGGAGACCATCTGTTGAATTGCAAGGATCGAAACAGAAAAGCATATATTTGTGACGTTTATGGCTTGTTTGTAGTAGTTTAGCACAACAAATTGATGGCTTACAGTCATCGAATTTCACTTTTCGACTTCTACGGTTGTGATTTTAACTAGACAGTTGTCGATGTATCTAAAACACTGACAACCACACCAACTTTTCAGTCAAATGATATATTTTTTCTTTCCCGTCATCAAAGGATCGGCTACGATTTTTATTAAAAAAAAAGAGCTGTTTATTTTTCCAGCGGAGTCACTTGACATCCATTATATTGACATTCTGTTTCAGTTTTATGTGTAGTTCATTTCCTCGTGAAGAATTCAGCATTAATTACTCAAATCAAAATAAGTACTTTGAGATCTTCCATTACGACACAGTAAAACCCTAAACATAATTTCACAGCAGGTTGCATTCAATTCTTTACCATTTCAGTTACTAGGCCTGAAAATTAGCTCTCTCCATTGATTAGCATCTCCTCATTTCACTGCTATTAAAATTCAAAAGTTGTATATGCTATTTCTTTCACATTTAGAGTAAATGTTACTTCTGTAAGGGCATATTACACAATACAAATCTTGTCACAAACTTCATACCAAGATTACCTTTCATTTCTTTGTCTAGGTTGACAGTTGTCTGAATGCTCGTCAATTTTCTTCTCTGACAATAAATTGAAATTTTAGAGTTAATTTATATTCTTATGGGAATATGGCCTGGGAATTAAAGAGTCAAGGAGGAGGTTAAAGAAAGAGGCAGAATCCGCATCCCTCTTTAGTTTTCTTCCTCTACACATGTATGTAATCTTTCAGAAACTAAATTGTAATGGCCTAATCTTGGTTTTGTGTAATAGTGTATGAAAAACTTAAAAAACCTTAAATTGTTTTGACACGATGAAATGTTTATTTTTCTACTTGGTTGGTAAAAATTAATGTTGCCAAATAATCCTTTCAATAGCAAATGGATATCCCATCAAATCCTGACAGGATATCTTCTAAAGTTTTGAGCAATGTTCCTTTGAATTTGCAACTTATTTCAGTTTTGTTTCATGCAAGAATCCTAATGGTTTGATTGTATCATTTGTGGAAGACTCTGTGTGATCTCTCTTGATTGAATAAAATGTTAGCCTTTCTATTATGTACTATTTCCTTTTTTTCCACTCTTGGACCCTCAAAGACAACAACATCGATCACTTTATTTCCTGGTGCATTCTCTCATCGCACTCACCGTATAACAGCTCAACTAAAAGATGTAACCTCTGCCTCAAAGAAAAATTCCTAATCATCTGCCGGCCCGAACTATCAACACTAAACAAACGTAATGAACTCGTGTCTTCATGCCGCCACAGAAGCAAAGCCCTCCTACGCAACAACTAAACTGTCAATTTCGCGCTGCATAAATTAGACTAGTTAGATCATGCAAATTATATTGTATATAAGCAATGGTAAAGTTTATTCTCATTAAATCCCCTGATGAGTGGGCGACCACGAAACAGGCTTGTAGGGATGAACTTGTAGTTTACTTGTCTTTTTCCTCCCACAATATATACTTCGCTCTACTTCTATGTATTGAGCACTGTTCTACGAAAATCAAGTCACACTTTATATATATATATATATATATA